ACAGAGCAGAGTTTAGAGCTCTTGTACATAGGGTCGCTATGAGTGGCAAGCAACTCGATGGCACATAACAACAACATATTTAATTATATTTTATTTCTTTTATGTATATTTAATTTTCGTTTATGTTTTCTTTCCGTTTTATTTCATCTTTGTTAATTTAATTTTATACTTCATAAAAATATAGGGTTTGGGGTCACATAATTTGATGGGGGGGTGAAGGAAATGGCGTGAAAAACAATGTATACCAACTTTGTAAATAAACTAGTTTAAAGTAAAGTTTTAAATATAGGGTTTCTAATACACTAATATTTATATTAAGTGGTCAACCAGAAAGTGCTCATTTTGACCTTTCTGAACACAAACAAATTATGGTAAAAATGAGATTATTTTCCTAAGCAGTAATTTTTTTGTTTTGAAGGGGGGCTTTGTGGGAGTTTTTTTTATATCACTCTTATTTACAAAGTTTGAATACATTGTTTCTCATAAAATATCCTTCCGATCCCTTTCCATCGCTCCACCCATCCATCAATTATGCAACCCTATGATTAACACCCGACCCCTCCCCCCATCTTCACCTCTCTATTTCCACCCTCCGCTCCCCTCCCCATCCTCAGACTCATTCTACAATAATGGTTTTATAGAGTATTTGTCCTTGTGAGAGTGAGTTAGTTCACTCTATTTGTCCTTGTGGGACTAAGTTAGTTCACTCAGCATAACACTCTCCTGTCCTTTCCAAGTTAGGTAATAATCTACAAGATGATTGCTTCTTGGTATTTGATAGAAAAGTTCATCACTCTTTCCCTACGATGAGATACATGAGCAGAAAAGAAGCTGGCAGACATCTCCACAGTGAGAATTATACAAATGATGGGAAAATTAGACCAGATGGAACTGAAAACAGCAGATAAAGAGCAACCTAGATAGATTGAGAAGAAAAGTCATCTCATGATTCCATCCTACAGCACTGCCCATCATTCTCTTCTGCTTTGAATGAGTAGAAATCAAAGTCTGTGACTTAAAGGACTCTTGTTATAATTTCTCTTAATGCTCTTACCAAACCCCGTGAGAATAAATGAGCCAATCAACATAACAATGGTCTGGAGGGTGTCTGTGTAAATTACAGAAGCCAAGCCACCTGTGAAACAAAGAAAAGAACTAAGGCATGTATTCAGCACTCATTTCTCTGTCTTCATTTATGGGGTCACCTCTTACCAAACTCCAGAAAACATAGTAAAAGCTTCTTGTTGGGTCAAAAGCTTTTATTCCCCTGCACCATCTCATTGATGTCTTTTTGTTTGTTTGTTTGTTTTCTTGAATCCATTGCCTTACCTTGATTCAAAGTTTCTATGAATGTAGTTCTATCATGTGGTGTGGTTTTGAATATTGAGTAGGGGAAAGGTAAAAATTTAATGTCATGAAAGCCTGCCTTCACTTTCTTTGGTGTGGAACTGAGAAAACTCTAGCAAGGCCAATTTTTGGTCTACTGTTAGAGCATATTATGCCTTTGAGGTTTTCCCTATTTAAAATATTTTGTTGTATTTTGGGTAAAAGTTTACACATAAATTCCACTTAACAATTTTTATGCAAATTATCCCATGACATTGGTTGCAATTTCATGATGTGTTAGCATTCTCATTATTTCTATTCTGTTTCCACTGGTTTCATTTTTTTTTTTCTCCCTCTCCTTGCCATTTCATCTGTACTTTTGTTGACTGTTTAGTTTCCTATAGTTGATTGTTTAAAGGAGCCACGTTACTCATTAGTTACCTTCCTGTGCTTCCCATTTAGGGGTGTTCACTTGGTCTCAAGATAGCCGCAATGCACAGGACTGATTGCCAGGGCACCTATAATCCATAAAATTGTTCTGCCCATAATCAAAACTTTCTGGGAAAAAATTGACACCAAAAGAAAGAAATGCCATGTGGTGGTGGTGGTGTTGTTTTTAGGTGCCGTCGAGTCATAGATGACTCATAGCGACCCTATGAATGAAAGGCCTGAGCATTGTTCATAGAGTTTCTAGAGGCAAGCCATTTCAGAAGTGGATGCCACTCCTGCTTCAAAGCCTGTTTTAATCGGGAAGCTCCACCAAACACTGTCCACCATGGGTCACCATTATCACATTTAGCACATCAGTGTCACAGTGTTTAACATCACAGCAACCACGAATTACCTCTATACAGCAATGAACAGTCCAGTGCTTTACCACCTAGAAGAATTTTTGACAAAAACCCAATTTGAACCAGACCTGAGGGCCACAGATTAAAATCACTCACCTTGGGCCTGGTAGCATAACTTTCTGTCCACAGTGAACATGGGTTTGTATATATCTGCTTGCGTGGTGATTATGGCTTCTTTGGGGTATATTCCCAGTAGTAGAATTGCTGGGTCAGATGATATTTCTATTTGCAACTTGTTGAGAAAGCACGATACGGCCTTCCATAGTGGTTGCACCATTTTACACTCCCACCAACAGTGAATAAGGGTTCTAGTTTCTCCACAACCTTGCCAACATTTATTGTTTGTTGTTCTGTTAAATTTTGCTTTTCTCACTAGGATGAGATGATATTGCACAGTTTTTTTTATTTGCAGGTCTCTAAGAGCTAGGGATTTTGAACATTTCTTCATGTGTTTGTTTGCCATCTTTGTTCATATCCAGTGCCCATTTTTCAATTGGGTTGTTTACCTTTATCTTGTTGTGGTGCTTGAGTATTTTATAATTCTAGACATAAGTCCCTTATCTGACATATCATTACCAAATATTTTTTACAAATTTATTACTTCCCTTTTTATCTTGTTGGAGAAACTTTTGGATGTGCATAGGAATTTGATTCTTAGAAGGTCCCATTCATTTCTTTTATCCTTTCCTGGTTGTAGACTTTTCGGGATGCTTGAAGACAGTTTATGTTGTAAATTAGGACTTCTAAGAGTTCTTCAAAACTTTTCTTTAATGAAGTTTATAGTCCTTGGTTTTAGTCCTAGGTCCATGATCTACTTTGAGTTGGTTTTTGTGTATGGAGTGAGGGTGGCTCTTCCTTGAGTTTTCTGAAGATAGTTTTCCAATTTTGCCAGCACCATTTGTTTAAAAGGCTGCCGTTTCCCCACTTGACTGATTTCATCTTCTCATAAAAAATCAGCTGACCATAGGTAGATGGGCTGATTTCAGGATTTTCAATTCTTTTCCATTGATCTATGCATCCGTCATTGTACCAGTTCCACACTGTTTTGACCACCATGGCAGTGTAGCAGGATTTGAAATCAGGGTGTGAGATGCCTACTACCTTGTTTCTCTTTTTAAAGAGTGTTTTGCTTATCCAGAGTCTCTTTCTATTCCAAATTAAATTGGAGATTGCTTTTTCCATCTCACTGAAAAATGGAATTGGTACTTGCATTGGGATTGCATTGAACATGTAGATTGCCCTTGGTAAGATTGTCATTTTCTCAATTTTGAGTCCTTCCTAACAATGAACAAGGGATATCCTTCCACTTCTCAAGGTTTCTTTTTGTTTCTTATAGTAATGTTTTGTCATTTTCTTTGAATAGATCATTTATGCTTCTAGCTAAATCTTCTCCCAAGTATTTAATCTTGTGATTATCTATTATGAAGGATATTGCTTTTCTTAGTTCCTGTTTTGTATTCTCTTTTTTCACTGTAGAGAAATTCAATTGATTTTTACATGTTGATCTTGTATCCTGCCACTTGGCTGAATTGGTCAACTATGTTCAATAGTTTTTTGCTGAGTCTTAATGATTTTCTAAGTATGCTATCATATCATCTGCATAGAGAGATAATTTTACATCCTCTTTGCCAACTTGGATACCTCTTCTTTCCTTCTCTTATTGCTATTGCTAAGACTTACAATACAATATTGAATAAGAGAGGTGATAGCATCCTTGCCTAGTTTCTGTTCTTAAAAGGAATGCCTTTAATCTCTCTCCATTGAGAACAATGTTAGCTCTTGGATTTGCATATATACTTTTTACTATGTTGAAGAAATTCCCAGTAAAGAGTGTTGGATTTTATCAAGGCCTTTTCTGCATCACTTGATAAGATGTGGTTCTTGTTCTTTGCTTTGTTAATGTGATGAATTACATTGATTGTTTTTCTTATGTTGAACCATCCTTGCATACCTGTTATTAATCCCCATTGGTCATGGTGAATTATTTCTTTGATGTATCATTGGGTTCTGTTGGCCAGGATTTTATTCAGTAATTTGCATTTATGTTCATGAGAGATATCAGCCTCTAGTTTTTTATTTTGGTGGTGTTCTTTTCTGGCTTTGGTATCAAGGATATGTTTGCTTCATAGTATGAATCTGGGAGAATTCCATCTTTTTCTATTCTCTGAAATAGTTTATGTAGAATTGGTGACAGTTCTTCTCTGAATGTTTGATAAAATTCACTTTTAAAACCATGTGGTCCAGGGCTTTTTTTGGCTGGAAGTTGTTTTATTACCTTTTCAATTTCTTGTTTTGTAATGGGTCTGTTCAGGTGTTCCGTTTCAGTTTGTGTCAGTTTTGGTAGGTTGTGAATTTTTAAGTATTTGTCCATTTCCTCTAGGTTTTCGTATATGTTTGAGTATAGTTTTTCATAATATTCTGTTAGCCTTTTTATTTTAGTTGGTTCTGTTGTGATGTTGCCCCTTTCATCTCTTATTTGTATTATTTGTATCTTTTTCCTCTTTTATAAGTTTTGCTAATGCTTATTTTATTTTATTGACCTTTTCAAAGACCCAACTTCTAGTTTTGTTGATGGTTTCAGGTGGGTTTTTTTTCTGTTTCTATTTCATTTGTTTCTGCTCTAATTTTTATAATCTCAGGTTTTTTGAGGGTGTCAGGTTTTCTTGCTGTTCTTTTTCAATTTATTGGAGATGTTGGGTTAGGCATGCCATGTACTTTAAAAAATAATGAAATGTTACTATATTATCTTGATGAGTTAATCAGAATTACTGATTGGTAAGGCTTTCTGTGACCAAATAGAAGTTCAGAAAATTGTATAGGGCATTAGTGCTGCTTTCTCCTGAATTAACAACCTTTTGTGAGGCTGGCTTTTTCTTCTGTGAGCTGACACAAGAGGTTGTTCACTGCTGAACAACCTACACAGAGAGCCACTCTCTGAGCATGGCTGAAAACTGTGGTCATCATCTTGTAGCAACCTGGATTTTTTATATCTATAAAATAAGAATTTGGTTTCTTTTTATGCTTTTTCTTCTCATACTCCGTGGAAGGATGTAGTAAATCTCTTGACAAAGGTATATTGACACTTTCTCAAGCCCGCCTCTAACTTATGAAAAACTAATCCATAAATCTTGTTTGCTGTTTTCATTGGTTCTCCTTCAACTAGTGCTCAATCTAATTCTACATCTTTCATTTTGCTGCTCACAGTGTCAATGTCATTATGTATCCACTTCACTTTGTTTCTCAGGTTTTTGCTGTAGGAGGATGTGGTGTGTCAGAGTAAGTCATCATCTTGGGCCAACATTGTACATCATTTATCTGGTTAATATTGGCTATGCACTGTAGTTGACTTGTATTTTTGTGGCAAAATCGTTTCAAAAAGAACCAAAAACTTATCTTTAAACTCTAGTTAAATTAGTTATCTGCCATCAGGGAAATATTTCTTTTATGATGTTGTCATAGAGAAACAAGACAGATGCTGAAAGCACCTGATTTATCCATCTCTCACTCTAAACATATGCTTATTGAAAGACTATTCAGGACTAACTTGATAGTTCATGCTGGTATTGTTACCTTTTGTTGCTATTTTCCTGCAGAACATGTATAATATAATTTTCATACTTTAATATGTATGCTGACACTGTTCCAACACAAATGGATTAGAAGAAACTTCTTCCCCATATCCAAATCACTACCCCAGCTCTCCTCCCTGATACTACTACTCATATACCACCATGAGGCCCTGGTATTCTTTACTCATTGCACCCCACCTTGCATTATTCTGTCTTAGGTGTGAGGTGATGTTTCACCATGATCTTCCACACGCATTATCCATTGGATTCTTAATTGTCAACCTGAGGACTGAACACATAGATGAAACAGACCACCAGTTCTCCACCTGTAGTACTCACATACCTAACTTTGATCAAATTGCTAGATTCTAATACTGAGAGAATTTCATTTTCTTGGCTCCAGTTTGGCTTCCATAGTAGGAATAGAATCGCGCCCTTAGTGGCAGCAAGGCTAATGTTAATGTTCCTCATTAAAAGCAGGAGCAGGATAAGCAGAAGGCAGCCAGTAATAAACATGCAGCGAACTCACCAGTGATCGTGTAAAGAGCAGTGATAGCCAAGAGGATGATGATTGCCAGGTAGAGATCTAATCCCAAGGCCAACTTGATGAATATAGCTCCAGAAAATATGTCTGTCTGAAAAGGAACAGTTGGAAATGAAAACAAACAAGTGAACAAGATTTCTGTTTCATCTGCTCCAATATGTACACGCTTCTTTTCCCAGTTGACTTCTATTCATTCTTCAAAATTCATTTGGATGTTTGAATGGGGATAGTGACACCTTAAGAGAGTTTCACTCTCTCCCTCTCCCTCTCTCTCTACACCTTTCTCCTTCTCTCTTTCTCTCTCTCTCTCTCTCTCTCCTCTTTCTCTCTCCCTCCTGCTCTCTCACTCTCCTGCTCTCCCTCTCTCCCTTTCCCCCTCTACCTCTTCCTCTTCCTCTTCCTTTCCCTCTCTCCCTTTCTCTCTCTCTCCTCCCTTGCCCGCCCCTCTCTCTCATTCCTTCACAACACTCAACTCATTATTCAGTTAAAGCATTTAATAGGTGGGTTGACATGTTCTCTCTCTTTCTTTGTACTAAGAATTATGTGCTTTTGAGAAAACTCAACAGTGATCACCAACCATTTTCATGTATTTTTTATTATTATTATTCATTTCAATGAACATTTACAGAGATTTTGGATTTCCATTCATTCACTGTTGCACTTTTCTCCCCATCTACCCCCGCCCCCACAGTTCGCTCATTTTCATGCATTTTTAAAGCAATATTCTTATTTACCAATGACATTTTCCACAAGCATATGTATTTGTTTTACTCTTGTTACAGTTCATTTAAGACTGAGTTCACTTCAGGGGATGAATTGATAAAATTTAAGCTGTTAAGTAATATATTTTCCTATATGCCTATCCCTAGTGAAAGAATGTACTCTGTTGCTGTTGTTGTGTACTGTTGAGTTGGAACTGACTTGTAGCTGACCCTCCAGTGAGTTTTCAGAAGTAATTAATCAAATGGGAGGAGATTCATTCTGGCTCCATCCAATTTCCAAAAAAAAACCTTTTAAGTATTTTCATTGCTACCAGTAGCCAGGAAATTAAAGATTAATTGTACTGGAAAAGTCTGCTGTCAGAGATCTCTTCCAATATCTGAAGAGCAATGATGTCAGACTGAATACTAAAGTGCCCCTGATTCAGGTCATAGTCTTTGCAATTACTTACTATGCATTAGAAAGCTAGACAATAACTAGGGACGATAGAAGAACTGATGCCTTTGAGTTGTGATGCTGGAGGAGAGTATTGACTATACCATGGACTGCCTGAAGAAAAAACTGGTTTGTCTTAGAGAGGGTGAAACTAGGCTGCTCCTGGGAGGCAAGGATTCTGAAGCTCTGTTTGACATACTTTGGACATGTTGCAAGGAGGGAAGAATTCTTGGAAAGGAATGTCATGCTTGGGAGTGTGGAGAGACAGAGTAATAGAAGACCCTTGATGAGATGGATTGATTCAGTGACTGGGGTAATAGGTGTAGGTGTGTCAGAGACAATAAGATTAGCACGGGATAGAGCAGGATTTAGGGCTATTGTACATAGGGTTGCTAGGAGTTGCAGGCAACTCAACGATACATAACAACAACAACAGCAACAGTAACTTTTTACCTGACTAAACTAAAACTGAGAAAAGTTAATTAATCTGCCCAAGGTTATCTAGATATCAAAGTAGAGTCAGGCATTGATTCTGTGCAGTGTGATGGCAAACATCATTGTTAAACCTTTGTCATCCTACCAACAGGAAATTTAAACTTATGAGATATATCAGCCACACTCAATCCCGGAAGAAGTCACTGTGACAACATACTTTGTGAATCTCTATAAGAAAAACAAAAGTAGAAAGTAAACCAAACCATAAGAACATTTACAATGGGGGAAAAAAATCACCTATAATCAGATCTATCTGGTAGCAGGATCTGGGAGAAAGTAGAAGGAACCAAAGATTTACTCAAAGAACTCAAAAATTTGAAAACCACAACTTATTAACAGCTATGCTTTGGAAAATACAGTGGGTGAAGTTTAGGATAGTAATTGGGACTGGAAGACATCTTAGACTTCTGTAAGCCAGTGGTGAGTAAAAGAGTTTCTTGGTGAATTTTGGAAAAGACCAAAGTAGTCTTTAGTCCATATCAACTTCCAAAACCAGCTATCAAATAGTATAAATGTTTTAAAAAGAAATTTAAAAAATGTAGCAAATGGTGCTGAAAACACAATATACCAAAACTCTGATACCCAGCAAAAGCAGTACTCAGAGGTCAATTCCTAGCAGCAGATGCACACATCAAAGAAAGAAGAATGAACCAAAATCCATCACAACAAGATAAAGGTAAATAACCCAATTGAAAAGTGGGCACAGGATATGAACAGACACTTCACCAAAGAAGACATTCAGATAGCCAACAAGCACATGAAGAAATGTTCAAAATCCCTAGCTCTAAGAGAGATACAAATCAAAACAACTATGAAATATCATGTCACCCCAG